CAGAGATGAATAGAAATGATTCTATTATTAGAATTGAGCAATACAGCAAATTAGGAAGATTAAAGTTCTATTCTAATTTTAGGAGCTAGTGAGTCTAGTTTAAGGAGGCTACCGATTTTAAATTTTGATTGATTTGACTGGAATAACTGCTTACCGTTTGTTTTTGGTAGGATTTCATTTTCAAATTCGTTTGAAACCTCAAGTATTCTCAGGAGCAAGGGTCGAGTTTGGTTACTTGCGTAACTGTTCATGAATAAACTTGAGAAGCAAAGCAAAATTCTGCAATAAATTTTATAGATAATTTATACTTTTGATAATTTTACTTAGATACTTCAAAAGTTTCAAAAGATTTTTCCAGACCAAGCTTCGAATATTTTTCTATCGATTGTTTGAATAGATAACCAGTAAACATAGCTTCTTGCTAGCTTGCATTAAAAGAGAACAAGACTTCCAACTTAGGATATTTTAAAAATCGTTTAAAAACAAGTTATTGAAGACCAGCATTCCGTCAATTTAAGATCATTTGGGAAAATCTACTCCTAAAATTGATGTAAAGGAACTAAATAGTTAGCTTGATATTTATGGCTGTTTATCACAGCATCTACTCGATACTCAGCAAAATTCTTAATGGTTGTAACTGAGAAAATTATCAACCCGACATTGCATCTTATTTGAATCTCCATTAACAACCTTCATTTGAAATTTTACATTTTGTTCGCAGACTTTACAATAAAACTGGTCCTTTATACTTCATCAATTCATTTTTTATCTGCCTGTCATGCATTTCTCTAAAACATATTTAGAATATGAACATCTACCTTGCAAAATGATGGTTTTGCAGCATGTTGTTAGTTTCTTTCAATAGATATTCTCTCAGTCTTTCTCAGCAATAGTGTCCAAATAGCCGCTAATGGTGAAGAGACGAAATGTGTTCGTTTTCAAACCTTTGGCCTAAATTGAACCGATTATGAAGTGAACAAAGCAACGGCTGTTCAATGCAACTGCTGTTCAACGCAACTGCTGTTCAAAGCAACTGCTGTTTGGCTGCCAGCTTATGCCCAACATTTTGTTTTTTGTACTAAATTATGTAGAATCAACATTATTAGCTGCCTGCTGAGACATTTACAGCAGTACGCAACATTGATAGCATTCAATTTTAAAAATTTTGCTTGATCAATATGAGAGAATAAAAAAACTTATAATTAACCGATGAAATATATCATAATTGTTAAGTTTGAGCTCTTTAGAGAACTGTTAAGTGAAACGCTGCTAAAACAAACAGATTGGGTCTTTTTAACAATGGATTCTTATTTGGAGGTTGGAATTTGTGAGTCTCTCAAATTTTTTAATAAAAGTAGTTCATCTTTATTAATAATGCATATTGGCTGTTTTGAAATTCACCATATGCTCATTGACTGGGATGATCCGATAAATTGATAATCAACGCCCAAGAATGTTTCACTACAGAGTGAAGATATCATAATTATAGATTCTTCCCGACGGGTAGCCATGATTACCTTAATTAAACGAGGCATTTCAAAACACTAAAAATACTTGACCTACACAAGTGTTGATTTAGTGTATCTTCCTACACGGCTGTCGATTCATCTGTCTTTCCAATGCATACATATAGCGTTTTGCGATTCACCTGTTAGTGTATAGTAGGGATTTGATGCTAAGTGTATCTATACTCTCTATTTTGTCATGATTTTGATATGCTGAAATGCCCTGAAATCGCTTATCTTTTCTTCGTAAAATAACTAAAGAACTCATGTCCTAGTAAGTAGTGGTAAGGAGCGAATACCTAGCAAAGTTTTAAGCAAAACCCCTTTGTTTCGTAGAAACACTCTCTGCTTGCACTAAGTGTTTCCTTTTCCAAGTGCTTCCTTTTCCCAGACACTTCATTTTCGAAAGTGCAAGACTGCTATCTAATTGTCAATTGCGAGCACTTTTGTAACACTTTTGACACAGATTAATCGTGACACAGACAGAATGACAATACGTAAAATCGGGAAGAATCGTGCTGATCAACGTGTCAAAGCTTTGCCTCTGCATTAAGCTTAGGTAAAAAAAAGTGCCCAATCAGAACAAAACTGTTTTTTTATCTCTTGCATTTTAACCGCTCTTTTTCATGGGAGCTAGTGTGGATGGAGTTTTGGAAGTTTTGTGGATCTGGAACTGGAAAGCATTCAGACAACTGTTTTCATCCCATCATCTTCATCTCTTGTACGGGCAAAGTCTCCAATCGCATAGTTCTTGAAAGAGCTGGCACTCTTTGGATGTGCACCAGCAGGGCCGTCACTAGAAAATTTTAATGGAGGGGGGGGGGGTGCAAAACCAGTGGTTTGCCGACAAAATGGGCGTGGCAACAGATACGGGCGTGGTTCTCAAACGATTATAGTTATTATTGATAAAACTCGCGAATATATTTTCTCGAACTGCTATATTTCAGCTACACCAACTAATGCGAGTAGAGGCTGAAATATATTCAGTTCAAATCAATTATTGACGGTAGTGGTTCTCAATTTAAATCAAGGATTCTATGTATGGAGTTAAACTCTGCACAATAACAGCAAAACAATGGTTCTATTTGTAACTCTAAGAAACTTTAAAAACAGTTCAAAATAACAATCCTAGTCTGACAATTTTTGCAGTATTTTCAAGCGAACCTAATATACATATAGATATATAGTATTCTGAAATTGAGCCAAGAAAATAATCGAAAATTCAACCTGCATGTTCTTTTCTTTATGTGTCACCTTTCATTTGTCTAGGTTAGTATCTTCGCTACAATTTGAAATATAGTGACCTACAAACTTATTCACACTAAAACATCATTGAGAGAACTTAAAACGATACAGATTCCTTAGTCTGTCCCAAACTTTATTATTCTAAACACGTTGTTCATTTAACAATTACCAAACAGAAAAACTTCATTATAACTTTTAAGCATGCACCTTGCAGAGGGTTTTAGAGAAAGAAAAACTTAAAGGGCAGCAGGGGAAGGCCTTTAACTGTTGCTTACTACTTTCAAAGAAGAAACTTTCGCGGAAAGAAATTTTCACGGGAAGAAACCTTTGCGTTTTTAGCGTTTATGGCTTAAAATCTCGGATGATTGATAAACAAAACTTCCTGAAATACTGAATTTGCAAAAATTTATTTTTGTGAAATATCCAGAAAATTTTGCTGTTGATCCTCTTGAAAACTTTGACGAAGAATTATTCTGTTGGACAAATTTTACATCTTTTTCGTTGTTTTGCTGGTATCATGTAGAATAAAAATAGAAGGAAACCTCAATTGAAAAGAAATGTTTTTCACGGAAAGTCCATGATTTTCGCTAAAACGCGAAATTTTGTTTTTGCAAAGCTCCTATTTCGTTTCTTTCGCAAAGTTGATTCCAAAAATTTCCCAATTTGAGAAGCTTTCTTCCTGCGCAACTTTCTTCCCTTAAAGTGATATGACCCTAGAGAACGTTCGATCATGTGGGGAAGGTCATTATTAGCTAGAAATGTAACAATGGCGACTCTAGACAACTAACTAAATACAACAGCACCTTGATCTCTACATACAGTTTCAAATTATTTCTCTAGGAAGTAGGACAAATTTGTCTTTGTGCGAAATTTGAAATATAATTTCTGTATAGTGGATGTTAGTCATAGTGGGGACCTTTGGCCTGCGCGCAGACTTCATTTTGATGCTTAGTTGTGAAACCAGCACGCATGTTATGGGCCTTGGCTATGACTGTATGTAGTTTCCAGTTTATGAAAATTATCTTCTCCACTCCAACTTTTGCAGAAAGGGCCCGTAATTTTTTTTTCTTTACAGGTCTGAGGGCCCGGTGGGGATCGCCACTTTGTCACCCGGTTACAGAATAGGGCCAGACCTCGCCTGGCCTTTAGCACGAGAGAGTTTGAACGATCATCAATTATTCTCGTTAGGTTTCCATAAATTTCAACTGTGACTGGTGCTGTCATCAACAACCGATAATATCTAATTGAAAATGGCAAAATTCTCTGTCTTTCTTCTGAAAATTTGCCAGTTTCCAAGAAGTTGACAACAAAACTTCCATTTTCGAAGATTTGCCGACAAGGCTAGGGTCTGGGGGGGTGTCACACCCCCCACACCCCCTCTCGTAGCGATGGCCCTGTGCACCAGCTAGAGAAAGCAGTGCCATCAGGTGCCATGTCTACCGCATTGAAGATAGTTGTATCCAAAGAGTTCTAGAACAGTAAGCTGCAAATTGGGTTAAAGGCCCGGTCACACGAAGGAATATCCAACAAAATTAAAAATACAAAAATATACTCTTTGAATATTCTTCGTTGTGTTTCGATGATTATCCACTTGCGTTATCATCCAATTGCTTGATTTTTCTTGTCAAGATGAGCCCGGAAAACATGGCGGTCGTATGGTCAATGATCGTGAGAAAGGCCAATAACAACAAAATGAATTAAAGTGCCTTTCCCGAACCCTGCCACTTCTTTGATCTTTGATGAAGGTTTTTGGTTTCTAGTTGTCCAGAGGGAGACCTAACCAACCACATAAACTGGAATCGAGGGGGCGTTCACCGTACAAAATTGGCAAAATCTCGAGCAAATAATTGACTAGTTTGCTGCCTCTTCTTGCATTTAGATGGCTATTGCTAACTTAAGTCACTAAAGAATCCAAAAGATAATCTTGTCGATTTTAACAAGAATGCAAGCAGAGTCTGTAAAGGTTGAACATTTTGACAATAACAAGGAATTTGGAAAAGGTTGTTACCAAACTATGCTGCTTGCAGACTTGGCTGTACGATTGAGACGTTTTGAATCTCGAGAAGTCTATTAAACCAACAGATTTTGCTATAAAGATCCTTGCAAGACATCCGCATTTAAATCTTTAAGACAACAATCATATGGCGACATAGCTAGGTGACTTACGCTGTTCAGCACAACATGCATATTGAATGGGTGTAGAGATTCCCATATCAATGATAACAAGATTCAGCCATATATTTATACCTTAAATGGAAAAGATAACGCCCATTTCTGGGACCATAACCGTTATCTTAAAAACGTATAAATTTCATTAGTGAATGCAAATCTTTCAAGGCAAGAGTTTTGCTAAGGACACCTGTTCAGTATGGATTTAGCAAAGGTGGTTGTTATCATATTTGCAATTTCTATTCTGTGCATTACCATTATATTCTCTGGATTATCAAATGTTGGACGCGTTAGAAACATCCAAACGAACAAAAACCTGTTTCCTGATGGATTTGCAAATAATAATCAACAGGCACTTATAGAGCCAGTTGATGGAATATATGCAACTTGGATCGCAGTTTACATCTATCAGGCTATTTGGATTTTTTATGCTGCCTCGTTGACTCTCAAGTGCGATTCGCCTGAAATAATCAACAAAAAGGTATACGCAACATACCTTTTTGCCTTGACTTGCAACATCGTCTGGATGTTCATCTGGTGTCGAAGAATTTTTTCACTTGGATTTGTATTTTACATTCTACAAGCAGTTTCTCTAGACATCTGTCTGTATTTTGCTACAAGTGCTTGCCTTCAGTACCTGGAGAATTTTCCACAAGCAAGACAAAGTCCAGTTGTCAGTCATTTATGGGCATTTCGACTTCTTGTTATAAACGGCATTTCCTTCTTTACTGGTTGGGTTTCAATCACTGGATTAGTAGATTTGGTAGTGGTGCTTCAGTTGGACTTAGATGTCCCTGCAATTCCAGCTTCCAAAGTGGGTTTATCCTTGATGGCCATCGGTATGATTACTTGGGCAGTGATTCAAAATTCTGTTTGCAAAGAGCAAACTCGCTTTATGTTTGCTGAATATATCCCCATCATGGTTGTTCTGGGTGGAATGATAGCAAAGGAATGGAACCATGAACACGAAGTTATCAGGTCTTTTGCATTGGCTCTTTTCGTTATTTCGTTGATGCTGTGCCTCTTCAGGCTTGGAATGATTATCACCCAAGAAGCTAAAAGAAAGGCGCTTCAGTTTGGTAACCAAGAGGCAGGCGAAAATGTAAAACTTATATAACGCAAACATACAAGCTACACATGCACATTTCTATTGAGTGAGAGCCCCTCATTAATTTCTACGTATTTTTTGATAAACTTTATATTGATATTTACAGTTTTCTCGAATTTCAACCCTAAATTCAATCATATTGGCAAATTTTGTAACTGCTTCTTTTTCTTTAGATGATTCAGTGCTACTCTTGCCAATGATACATATCTATACGCAACCCTAAACGTATTCAAACGACAGTATTTAAAAACATATCACAGCAATTCTCGCAATAAATTTATCTCTTCAAAGAACAGGTATCCCTGTTACATTAATTTAAACTCAAACTCAGACTTATTTCCATTCAGCAGCCTTTACGGTTTACAGAAATACAGTTTAATTGAAATTTATTGAAATTTGTAAATGAAACAATAAATCACATGAAACTGAATGAGAGCTTTTTGGTAATCTTTTCCACAAATAATCTTATGATCAATTTATTGAATGTATTTCAAAGCCATCATCATTACCTAACAACAACAATAGAACTGATAGATGAATATAACAAATGGGCCAATGGATATGCAAAGTCAATTTGAGAAATAAAGGTATCTAAAATAATAGAAAAGACTAGGTGCAAAATGCTAAAGCAAAAAACTATTTGTTTAACTATCAAGATCAGAAACATGCTTGACTTGTATCTGGTCATTTTATTTAAACAAGTACTTTCCACTACATAAAGCTCTGTGAGTCAGTTGACTTTAATTCTGTTTCAAAACAGTTTTATTGCATGTGATAATCAACCAAAAAACTAAAAAGAAATGAAAGAAAGTTTTGGCATTCTCTATCTATTAATCACAACCTTATTGTTCTTATCATAAAATGTTTTTAAAGGGCTTAACAGTTTCTGAATATGCTGCTAAATGTCTAGAAAATTTAAACTAAAATTCAGCTAGCTCGGCAAATTACACTGCTATCTTCCCCATCCATCCATCTCCAGTGAAAAGCACTACATCTTGAAACAATTGCTTACTGAAAAAGCTGAGAGTTTGGTTTGGTTGCATCAAAGTCCGCTGAGTATCACTTTTTCCCTAGCCTAAAATTGAAAAGATTGAAAAAAATAAAAAATACCAGTTTGTTAACCTTTTGGGGGTTTCCGTACATTGTTGTTGTAGTTGTCTTCAGGTCGTTTGACCCCTGGTGATGTTATGAACCTGACGTCTCCATTCAGCTCTATTTTTAGTTTCTTTGTTGAGCTGATAAACATTTCTTGTTGTCATCGTCTTAATGTTGTCAAACCACTTTGTTGCAGGTCTTCCTTTACCTCTTTTCCCTTCAATTTTTCCTTGCATTATCAGTTTTTCTAAACTGTTGTCTGCTCTATTTATGTGGCCATAATAGGTTAATTGCCTCTTTCTGATGGTGTTGAATAATGATCTTTCTGTTTTTATATTTGGCCTAGTACCCATTCATTCCTTTTTCTAGATGTCCACGGCACCCTTAGGAGTCTTCTCCATACCCAAAGTTCAAAGGCTTCAATCTTTTTCATTTCTGCTTTTCTTATTACCCATGTCTCACTTCCATATGTAACAACAGGAAATACTAATGCTTCAATTATTCTTATCTTGGTATTTAGTGTGATGTTTTTGTCTTTCATTATTGTTGTCAAATTGGTCATAGCCTTCCTACCCAGCATTAGCCTCCTTCTAATTTCTTTTGTGTGATCAGAGGTTCTGGTTAATGTACAGCCAGGAACATTTAATTCCTGTACTACCTCGATGGATTCCCCATCGACTTCAAAGTTGGTATTTTCTGCCGTCGTCATTACTTTTATTTTTTTTAAATTTAGTAGTAGCCCTTTTTCCTTGCTTGCTTTTTTAACATTTCTGATAAGTTCTTCCAGATCTTCTTTGGTTTCGGCAATCAGGGTCGTGTCATCTGCATACCTTAAGTTATTAATGAGTCTACCATTTACTTTAATTCGATGTTGTTTTCATATAGTCCTGCATTTCTCATAATAATTTCACTATATAAATTAAAAAGGTATGGAGATAGAAAACAGCCTTGTCTCACTCCTTTGCTGATTTCAAACCAATCTGTTGGCCCATACATTGTTCGTACATGCGCTTCTTGTTTATGGTAAAGATTCTTAATCAAGATTATTAGATGTTCTGGAATTCCCATCTTTCTCATCACAATCTACATAGTTTTATAGTTCACACAGTCGAATGCTTTGCTGTAATCAATGAAACAAAAATACATTTCTTTCTTTACTTCGCGTACCTTTTCCAATATCCATCTGAAGTTTTGCAATTTGGTCTCTAGTTCCCCTTCCTTTAGTAAATCCAGCTTGCTCAATTGATATTTCTCTGTCAATATACGGTGTTAGTCTTTTCTGGATTATTTTCAGAAGTATTTTGCTCATGTGAACAATTAAGGATATTTTTCGATTATTTGAACATTCTCTAATATCGCCTTTCTTTGGCAGCGACAAGAAGACAGATCTTTTCCAATCTACTGGCCAGTCAGAAGTTTTCCAGATTAGCTGACACAGCTTGCATATGATGTTGAGTGTTTCTTTGCCAGTATTTTTTACCAGTTCAATGGGGATGTTGTCAATACCTGGAGCTTTATTATACGCAAGTTCTTTAATGGCATGTTCTATTTCTGCTAGAGTTGGTTCCGGTTCTTCTGTAAATTCTTCTTCTGTGAAATCATTTTCACAGAATAATCAAAACAAATTCCGTACATTAGAATTTCATAAATCCATCACTACAAACTGTTAAAGAGAACGGTCTCCGCATTCAGGGATAAATTATTTCAAAATTTCGCTGATTATCACTTTTTCCTTGGCCTAAAACCGAAAAGTTTGAACCAATCAAAAATACCAGTTTGTTCACCTTTTGGGGGTTTCCGTACTTCTTTAAGTTGTCAGTTGAAAGTCTGCTCCAAAAATTCTTATTATCTCTTTAGTTAATAACAGTTTATTTTGAGAATTGAAACAGGTTGTGTCCTTAGACAGGGTAGTGATAAAAGCGTGGGGAATTCTGGTCACTCAACCAATCAAAAACTTGCTTTCCTTGTCACGAAACTTCAAGTTCTTCTCAATATCAGTAATGTCATTCGACACATTGGGAGGACAATGCCAAGAAGCCTGGCTTTAGTTCCTTACACAGTGGCTTTAAGGTTGACTTTGGAACCTTGGTATAAATAATATGAACAACATCTCCATCAACTGATCACATCTTAAAAGTGAAAAACGATCAATACTCACAAATAAAATGTTGAAATTGTTTACATAGATGCATACATACATACATTTGCATAATTATCACTGGTCGGTGTTATAATGCAAGAAGAATCGCTAATTGCTTTGATCAGTTGTGGCGGTATGATATAGATTTATTTGTTAGAAGAATTTGCTACTCAGCTATTTGATGTTGAAAGTTTTCGTTGTGACACTTCATTGGTTCTGACCTAAACAGAGTTTAAAGGGGCTGTGGGCCAATCTTGCTCATTTTACAGCGGTTGATGGGATCTACTGCAGCAATCAAAGTATAATTGGCTTGGCAAGCAATCGATTTGCTTTGAGTAGACATTTAATTTTGCATGGTAGAAGAGAGCTATTTACTAATTTGTCTTGAATGTAATGTAAAGAATGATTTTTTGGGACAAGATCTGGTGTATTCGATAACGAAAAGCATGACTTTCTGAGTAGCGATAAGAAATTGAAACCAAAAAGTAAAATAGCAGTAGGCCTAGGCCTATGCCTTGTACGTTTCATAAATTATTTTCTTCGTGATAGCGATTGTTTGTTGTTTGAGTTGTTGTTTGAAATTAGAAATTCTGATGTTTAAAAATGATTTTTCAACGTTCATCAACACAATAGAAAAGAGTTATCAACAACAAGCGTGTGTTTTAATAAAAATCAATCTTCAAGTTTTTGGAGTGTTTCTATTTTCGTGCCAGGAGACAATTATCTAGTCGTCATGATATATTCAAGCCTTTCAAGCATCATTGTGAAATGATCTTACAAAATAGAAAGAAACTTTGAATTTTCACTCATTTCTTTTTGCTACTTGAATGCGTGAACTGCCCCGGCAAACTACTGTTCACGCTGTTGTTCAATTTAGTCATATGAATGACGCGTAATCCTTTGCATAATTCTAGGAAACGCTCATACGCGATTTTGCTCTCGGTTACACAGACCCACTACTTTCAAGTTAGGGGTCTGGAACTCAGGCTACCATTATTCCAATTTTTTCTCCTAATTCATTATTGCGCTAGAAACCGGGACAAGGCTTATTTAGGTCGTCTTTTCATCTAACAGTTTTGTAATCTACATAAAAACAATGAAGCAGCTATTGTGTAGACAGAAGTAGTTGGTGTTTCCTCTTGGACACGCAGTACTGACAGGATACCGGTCATGTTCTCACATTTTTCTGATTGGCCTATTTTGATCAGCAACTGGGTGTTGTTTGACTTTGCATTGTTTAGCGCAAACTGAATTTTAACATACGTACTGCCCGGTAAAAGTTGACTTGCGATATGACTAGCTATTCAGAAAAAGACGAAAATTCTTTAGACGCAGAAATGCATATAAATAATCTCCAGGAATGCCAAGAACAATAATATTGATAACAAGATGATCTCTACGTTGGGTAGCAAAGCTGATTAATAAACAAATATATTTTTTAGTCTACAACGTATTCTTTCTTCCATGTTTGGTAGTCTGAATCCTCTACTGCTCCGTGCGTATCGACATTTCTTCCTCTACCTACTGATAATTTTGTACTGGTTTCCTTTTTACCTGTTGCTGTCAGACCCGCCCGCTTTTGAGTCTGTGTCTTGAAATACCTCTCGCCAGAATTCATATTGATGACTCTTTTTTCTTTCTTTTTCTTTTCGTCATTTACTTGTCGACCTGGTCGAAACCAGCACATTGGTGAATCACAATTATCTTCTGAAACCTGCCTTTGAAGCTTTTTATGCCTATGCATCACATTATGCAAGAACCTTTTCAATGCTGGTTTTCTGAGTAACAGCCTTTTTGCGATTTCCCCAAAATCAAAAGCCCTCTTTTTACCAGCTCTAAACCAGCACATTGGTGAGTTACAGGACTCTCCATTTCTATCATTTGATTTTCTTTTACTTGAACCTAGCGTGAATCTGGGAAGCATCCCTCGCTTGCCAGGTCTGAACCAACACATTGGTGAAGTACAATCGCGCTTTCCTGATCGAATTGCAGCCTTGTATATATCAATATCGAGGTCGTTTTCAAATGGTTCTCTCCGTTGGTCGATTGTAAGCTCATTAGCTTCCGCGTCTACTGTAAAAAAACAAAGAAACGTAAACTTCTAAATCCCATTGATAAGTGTAAAATGTCGAAGCCAGGTTTGGTAGGATGGTCAGGCTCAGATACGGATATGCCACGCTCATTTGACCACGCTCGAAAATAAAACGCTTACTTCTAATTTGTGAAACTTATTTCTGGTTAATCAACCATTGAGAATTGGAACATTTCATTTTCATATGGTTATTTTAAAAGGCAGCCAAAAGCATGTAAAGTTTGCAGAATGATTGGCTTCTGACTATTGGCTAGTACAGCATTTTCATCATTTGCAAGCAAGCAAGAAAAAAAAGAAAGAAAAACACACAGGAAAAATTTTCTTATTACTATTACTCTGTCTCCCAGGTTGTCAACAAGTACAGTACAAAAAAGATACCTTCTGTTTATGATGATTCATTAGTGAACAACATACTATTCACACTGTTCAAGTTGATATTTCCACACATTAACTTAAATCAACAAAATAGATGTTACTGTAAATTGTTCAAAATCTGTACACTGCAATGTACTAACACATTTTAGCTCCACCTCAAATATGATCAGCCTACAACGAAGGTCCAAACAACGTTAGAATGTAAATACAATCCACTTTGAATATGCGGCATATTTTACAGTGATAAACTTGACAAGAAGCAAATAAATAAACAAAGTTCCTTTTCACACGACTGATGTTCTTTGAGGGCCAGTACAACAAAGTCGTGGCGTCATCGTAGCAGTCATCTTACAGTACCTCCCTCTTCGTATTGCAATTTCTGGACATCATCCTATCTTACCGTTCTGATCGATTGATAGCCTTAACCAGAAAGTTTCACAGACAAATGTTCGGGGGGGGGGGGTACCTTAACATTTTTGAAGGTACGAGGACCTGCCATTTTTTAGGGGTACCTTTTTTCTGAAAAGTGCAGAGTTATCGGTACTAGAAAAACATTAGCGGCACTTTCCAATACAATGTAAATGGTTTTTTTCATTTGACCAATCCTGACGAAAGCATTCAAAGTACTCATATTCTTTTGTCTCTTTTGGCCACTTAGAATATTTTGTCTTTTTTGTTTTTCTCTCCTTTACTCTCTTTTTGTCACTCCACCATGACAAGAAATTCAAAGTAAAAAATTCTTCTAAAAGAATCCAAGAACTGAAGCAGGGAAAATTGTAGTAAAATAATAGAAGTAGTTTAGTGGTGCAACACATAATATTATGTTGTTTAAAGCCGAACTGGAGGGTGTGGTAGCAAAAAATTCCCGGGCCAATTTCCTTCTCCATCGGAAAAGTCTTTCGTTTTGTTCTCATATACCTCCATCATCCCTTTGTTAACCCCAAAATATCAAAGACTTTAAACTATTAAACCAATCTCAACTCATTAATTTCAACTCTCCACTTTTAAATTTGTGGCGTTGGCCGTATTTCTTCTCTAAGCGACACTTCTGATAGGAAAAATGACTTTCAGCGAATGCCTGATAATCAACCTGTTTGATATTTTTCACTACAAGAAAGTGTTTTGCTTCCTATTGATATTTCAATGTTTTTATCGCATAAATTATTGATCGCTGATTTCTTTTTTCCTAGTTATTAAAATTAATATCATTGTTCAAGGGCCTCTAACAAAGTATTCCTAAGGGTCGCGAACTGTTTTGTTACGTCACTGCTACAGATGCAGTTACCAATTAACAAATGTCGTTTTTTAGATGCATTGGTTTTGCTGTGGGATCCTTCGTGTCAGCGTAATTCAGTGAATGAAGGAAAGAGGTTCCTTTTTACACAAAAATCGACTTAAGAATTGTATTAAAATTTCGCAAGCAAAGCAGGCCTATATTATGGAAGGCAATTCCTCCAGGATTTTCATCCTAATAACCATGTCTAAAGATTGCTTCGGGGGAATTTTGAAGTGAGTTTTGCATCTTCTCTTATTCAGCATGTAAAATTACGCCAGAATACTAAGTTTCGGGATAATAGGTTGCATAGTAAAAGCTATGGAGGAAGACCCGAAGGAAGACTAGGTACAAGTAGCCAAGTCTGAAAATAGCTTTGGGGCGTTTTTGAAGTAGAGCCTACATCTGATCATATTCAGCATCTCAAATTACGCCAGAAACATAGTTTTGGTTTTAAACCCTTTAAGTTTAAAATTAAACATGGAAGACTCAAAGTAGGACTGGGTACAGTTACCCCTGTCTAAAAATACCTTTTGGGGGCGTTTTTGAAGTAGGGTCTGCATCTCATCTTTTTCAGCATGTCAAACTGTGTACTTGTACCAGATGTCATGCTTGTATCATGAAAATGCACAATTCAACTGCTAAGCGACTGCATTAATAAAGTTTAACAAAATTAAGTAAAACGTAAGGCAACGTTGGACATTTTTTTTATAAATTCAAAGCCAATGATTTCATATTTCAATATCTGCATAAAAATAATAGTAGAAATAGATTTTCCCACTTTCATTTTTACTTTCCTTCCTTTACCGGGACCACATTTGATCAGGAAATTAAATCGGTATACTTAAAAAACGCTCATAGTTTTTATAAAGGGGAGCACTTCATGCCAAAAAATTCGCTTATCACAGCTATTGGAAGAGTATCAAATGTACTCAATCTTGCTGATTCTCAAATCTTAGAAGAGGGAAGAAATCTCATATCAGTGAAGGCCAGAAAGTATTGAAGCGTTTAGAGTTCACGATAGGTATTGCAGGACGTTTATGATCGTGAAAATGTTGAGAATTATACTTACCTTGCTGTTCGGATACTAAACAATAAAGCTATTGTATAGTCCAACCAATAGGAATTTTGTGAGGCTAGCAAAATGCTATGGAAAAAAGTACCTTTGGGCATTTACAGCTCAAACTGCAGCTATGATGATATAAGAACTCTTTTAAAATATTGTCATTAAGACCCCTTATTTATTTTTTATGAATTATCCCTGCCTCATTATTTCTTTATCTTTGATCCACCAGTACCTTATCAGCATACACAAATTACTACTACTAGAATAAATGAATTAATCATTGTTTTTTGATAAAATTCAAATAAAAAGATGATGTTGTACTTTTGGAAAGCTATCAACTTTATAAAAATTCCTAAAAGATTCTTTTGACCATGGAGATTATGGGGCTCATTCTGATGTAGCTTTGATTTTCACTCCATGTTTTGTCACCAAAGTAAAGAAACTTCAAGTTGAGGACTTCATATTTTACCATGGGTAATCTATATGAAGCTGGCAACTAGAGGAATAACTAAATATCTCTGACCTTGTGAAAAATCTAGCTCTGAGGCTGTCCGGGAAAAGTCCTTAATCATTTCAAATGTCATTGTGGCCCTGTCACATTTCATTTTGTTCGAAAAAACCATCCAAGTACGATTTAATCCATCCCTAAAGCAAATATTCTCTATTATTGCCTGATCTATATTATGGAGACGCTGAAGATGTTCAAGTTTTGCAGTGGACAGACCGCTCCATAATTCATCGCAATATCTTAAATCACTTCAAAAAAGTCCCCTGTAAACCTTGTTTAATTCAAATTATAGGAATGTGTTTTTACGTTTCCTAATGAAGAAAGATTACTTTTGAGCTTTGTACTGCCTGTTCCAAGTAGGGTTTTCATCGAAATTGATTCCTAAATATTTCATTTCTTGTTGAATATTTTTTTCAATAATTTCAACTTATATCATCTTCTCCTCCTCGTTGGTGAGCAATTACCATACATCCTGTTTTATTGTTACTAAAGCTTACTTAATTTTGCCTCATTCAACCTCAGTTTTAAGATCATTGCAATTTCCTACGAGCCTTCAGCAGAGCATGTTCTGCTAATGTCGTCTACGTATATTTCTGCCCAAATTTTTCACGTACAGGATGAGCAGAAGAGGTCAAAGTCACAAACTCTGCCTTAAATGCGAGAGTGCAAAATATGTTTGAATGGAGGTGCACCCTTTTAGGCAATAAATCTGTCTTGAAACTGTCATTTTACAGAGTTTGTTAATTATTTTGAATTTCTAAATATGATGAAAAAGCTAAATATGATGCTAAAAAGCGTTTTAAAATGGCTTTGAGGAAAAACAAGATTTTTGAAACATGCTACTAAAGCTTTTAATCTGACACTCTTAAGAGTATAAAACGTTATAGATCGAAAACTTTAGGCTAGGAAATATATATACCCAGTTGTGGATCGATCAAAAACGTGAGAAAAAGACAGTTGAGGTTGCCCAATCAGTGCCGCTTGCCTACTAAGATTGTTACCAACGCAGTCCTAAGGTGAAAACGAAGTCCTTGTTCCTACACAATAGTGGTTTTTTCATGTTGGTGTAGATAGACTCCAAAACTGCTAAATAGAACGACGATCGGGCTATACCAATAATCCGAAACATGTCGCCATTACAATTTTTTGCACAATCGGAGTTTTCTAGTAAATGCTGACTGTGAAAGCACAACAGTCGTGTGCTCGCATTTCTGATTGGTTGGTCTCTTTCCATCCACAACTGGGTATATATATTGCGTAACGTATGGTTGAAAAAATAAAAGATGAATGAAATAAACCTTTTAGGATTCCACAAGAGGCCAAGATGAATATAAGAGATGATTGTTTCAGCCGGTTTTTGCTCGTGGCAGAAAACCTTCAAAGCCACAATTGGCCCGTGAAAGTGAGGCTTTATAGGTTTCCAGCCATGGGGCATGAGCTACGAGCGAAATTCGGCTAAAACATCTTATTCCAATCTTCAAAGTTCAAAATGTGACTCCGAACATCTCGTTAGCTATGGGGATATTGATCAAATTGAGAATGATTCAGTTGTTGAAAAATCTGATGGAAAGAACATTTTTGAGGATGTGAGCAAGAACTAATCGGCATATTTGTTCCTTAGAAGTATCATAAAAAAAGCTTTGTTGTTTGATTATCTCGAGCATCCATTCATACTAACTAAGAGAAAATCAAAATATGATTATTAATTCTATCGAAATTTATTTTGACCAGCACACTTTGAAAGTTGTTCAAATCGAGAGTCTTTCTTGCAAAAAGTACTCTGTTACCAGAAAAATTCAAAAAAGATTTTTTAGAATAATATCACAAAATTACAAAATTCATCTTTAGTTTTAAGTTCTTTTGTTGATTTTTCAAGTTAATGTTTTTTAATAATACGTGTTTCATTTATTTTTTCCTCCATCTTTTTTTCATACCTTTACAATACATAAAAAGGTTATTCAAAAGTTTTGCAAGGCCTTTCCTATCTCATGTCAACATTTCAATAGACAAAACTATGGTGCATAATGATGAAAAAAGCATGAAAATATCGCCCCAGATTTTCCACCATTCAAAATCAGTTTTAGATATAGTTTCTAGCTATCCTAATATACCATGTTTGATATTTTTCCCTTTTTGATTCGTTTCTCCGGCCTTGGCAATATTTTATTCGCCGATTTCTTGACAAAATGTTTAAACTGGCACTTCTTAATAGAACTAGACACAGTCAGAATAATATATTTTACTAAAAATTATGAAAAGTTGTGCATTTTTAATTGATTAATTTATTGGCCACTAACTACGGCTTAAAGATGCAAGCGAAGAGAAATGTATATGGTATACTGGATGTAATTGTTGTAATTGATAATAATCTATACAACCCCCTTTCCCATCAAAATTTGAATGTGCGCCCCTGCCAGTCTTCCATGTAGATATGTCACATCTGTGTAGCAAACTTAATTTTTGATTGAAATAACTTACTCTCTGTTCTTTTTTCTGTAGATCTTCCGTTTCCAAAGGACACCAAGGTAACGAAAACCAACGCCAATTTTATGACACCCATTCTTGTTTTAAAGTCTTTTTTATTTCCTGTGAAAAAAGAGTGTTTTAAACAAAATCTGACATACAAATGATTGTACCTGACATACAAAAAAAAGAAATCTTGACCATGTTTCCGATTGACATTTCAAAAACATTGATAATGCTTACACTACTCCCTATTGTATTTTCACAGCTTTGCCAGCTATTTGTGTAGGCTGAGCCTGCTTCAAAGTTTTAATACAAACCTTTTTTTGGCAGTACCAACTCAAAATTGGCTTACGAAAGGCAGCCCCTGACCAGCCACTAATAAGGCCGGTCAGTGCTCGCATTTCTCTGATTGGCCTATTTTGATTCAAAATTGGCTATATATTTAACATTGTGTTCTTTCGTACCCTTATTCTGACGTTTTATATGCTGAGGGGTGTTACACGAAAAAATTTTTAAAAGTTATTATGTAGTGAAATTTTTTTCAAAGCCATTTTCAAGTTTTGTGCCGCCAAAAAGTTATCGACATCATTCTGTCAATTATTTTAAATACCAATTAAGGACCGTAGAATATAATCTGAAGTATAATTCTAAAAAGCAACGCAAAAGGCCTGATAGAAATCGAGAGATTGGTTGAACTTCTTAAACCTAAGTATAAATTGGCCTGTGGTACTATACTGCACATGACGTCTTTTCTGACAATTCTGTGTTTGCGCTATAGTAACTGCTCCAAAACGGAGATTTTGCGATATAAAGGGCCCCAAATTTTCCACGGAATGAAGTTACAACAAAAAGAAACCTAAATTGCTTATCACTGATAAACTCAGCTTGAAACCCAAACATAGTTAATGCATTGAAGTAGACGACCATCGCGAGTTCACATCTAGGAGAGAGATTTTATGAATTTTTTATTTATAAACCAGGGCAGCAGAGTCCCAATGCATATATAATCTATTCAATTCTAGATGCAAAAAGTTACCAAATAAATCAACCAACTAAGCACACGTTTGAGGCAAAATACCATATCCCCCTCTCGCAGCTTCACTCGCTTGGAATCAAATAAAAGGGACATTGGGTATTATCACTGTAACTTTGGCAGTTATGCTGGCTATACACAATCTCGAACGGAAAAACGTAAATCTGGGCCTAATCACATACAGTAAATGAAATCGCATCATTATTTGAGTGATTGAGCAGAGCTTCAGTGTAAACCAGAACTTTGATAATAACATAATTGTCCATCAAAGCCCAGTTGCTATAAGCATTCATTAGACAACTAAATAATGCCCCCTGCCCTGCTTTGGAATTATCCAAATTTATCTCCCCCCCCCCAGTAAGTCTTATTGTTAAGAATTTACACACACCAATTTTGTTGCAAAAGTTTATCTAAAGAGGTTTATAAATTCTGTAATGTTCTTGTTTGTTGACAATGAAAAAGGCAAGGAACAGAGCTGATGCTATTTACTAAAAACCCTAGCTCTTTTTATAATATCATAGTCTGGTCAACATGGAGTAATATTTTTCATAAAGTTATTTGTCACTTATATTAAAAGATGTGGTACTATTTCATTATGGTTAACAGAGTTCTGAAACCTTGTCTTTTTAATGATAAAAAATCCATTTGTCTGTATTGAATGATAACATATAAAGGTAAAAAAAATTGATGGGGTTGGATTAACCAAGTGTTATGTTTACAGTTTAAGTGGTTGCATACCTTTGAAAAAAAACCTTTTTTTGGACAGGCAACTCAAAAATGCACAGTTAAACAAAAATCCCCTGTATCATATTCATACATTTGCTATTATTTTATGGTTCTTATTTGTTTTTAATAACTCAACTTATAAAAATTACATTAAAAAGATTGCATCTTTCCTTGATACCACAGAGAATGACTGACTAGACTTAAGATTTCTGCCTTTCTTTTTTTAAACTGGTGTTACAGTGTTGCTGAGACAAAATCTAAATGGGAGAGGGACCGCGTGTTGTATTCCTTTCTACACAGAAAATGGCCATAAAGGAAGTGTAGTGCTTCTACATTTTCATATAGGCAAAAATTGAGAATTTACTGCTTTTATAAACACTCCATGCTGTAGTTATAAAAGGATGTTGTGAAGTGGATAACGATCAATGTTGAATCAAATTATTTACAGCTTGGAAAAGGATGCCTTAAATTGACCAATTTAAAATAAATAATGCGGTTGGAAATCAAATTAATTATATATATCTTGACAAGTGCAAAAGATATCTTAACGCCTGTGCACATGCATCCCATGGTAATTTTATAAATGCTTTGATTTTTTTCATTGATACTGCAAACCGCTTTTCTGAAATTTTGCCAAATGCAAACGTTGTACTTGGTGCAGTTGACAATCAACTAGAGTTTTCTTTTTATTAGAAATCACAAATAGTGGGTTCCTCTGGACTAACTTATAAATATACCTTGCAAAAAAAACTAGCAAACATACTGTTTCCTTCGAACAAATTGAAATGAACTTGTCATTTTCACGACCTTTGCTTCTTGATATTCGGAGTTTGGTTAAAAAAAGACATTGGGAAACATCAGTGTCGATAGATTGTTTTGTGCAGCAACTATATTGCCGTGTCTAATAGCAAAAACAATATCAGGTTATTTGCTGCATTTTGGACTTATGGCGACTTAAAGCATAGAACTTTAGAGATGTTAATCTGGATAACAAATCAAACAAATCAAAAATAAATAAAAGAGAGAGAGCATTAGCACCAGAATTCTAAAGCTTGATTGAATACATCAATACTTCTGTCCATCTTTGCCGAAAGGCAAGCTAAAGCTAAATGATTGATATGATCTTCTGAAAAGATCTTGAAGGCCCATTCCTGTCACCTTTTGCTTCAACTTGCTCTTCATGACATTGACCGCAAGAAGGATTAAGAAAATCAAAGTATCTGCACTACTTTGCACTGCTTTGCACTGCTTTGCACTGCTTTGCACTGCTTTGCACTGCTTTGCACTGCTTTGCACTGCTTTGCACTGCTTTGCACTGCTTTGCACTGCTTTGCACTGCTTTGCACTGCTTTGCACTGCTTTGCACTGCTTTGCACTGCTTTGCACTGCTTTGCACTGCTTTGCACTGCTTTGCACTGCTTTGCACTGCTTTGCACTGCTTTGCACTGCTTTGCACTGCTCGCACCCAAAGATGGCTCCATTACAAGGAGCTCCCTAAATTATCAACTTTCTAAAGTCGGGTTGCCTCATTGTGTACGGATTATTGGTAAGTGGCCTAAAGCATACTTGAGCCTTTCTTTGCTGTCAAAGCGAAGCGTTAAAATTGAATATGCAAAATTTTGTCTTTTTTCTTCATTTTTCAAATTAGCTGCCTAAAGATAAAGCCATTTATTGTCCGAATCACTAATCATTTGCATAACAGCAGCTAGGATTCGATGAATGTGCATTTATAACAAGAATGATAACTTTCTTTGTCATGTTGATAGGCCACAATTGACAATTGATGTCCAATCCGATCTAGCCAAATGGTTTCTCATCGATCCCACATTCTGATTCAAGTTCTTTTTCTAACATACAAATCACTTTGGCAGCTTCAGTACTGTTCTCCCTACCATTCCCAGCTATGTATTTTGTCTTTTCTTCAAGTTTCCTGGCAAATTTAACAGCAATGTCTATCCATGTGCCGCTTCTTTAAGTTCAATTTTTAACACACAGGTTTATTTTTCCTTTTCAATTCTTATATATTTCAGTTTGAAAAGTTAGCTAGACAGGCATCAAAGAATTATCGTCAATGCCAGGAAACACAAAACGAAAACATGAACATTGTCTGTCATTCACATGAAATTCAATTAGGTTATATATAGCTTTTTCTTTTCTGTAGAAAACAAGTTATACTCATTGGTTGTCAAAAAAACATTTTTTGCAGTTGCGACTAGTGGTTTTGCAAAAATTTAATGGAGCTAGCACTATCCAGAAATTCTTTCTGTTTACAAAAGAATGGGAAAGGAACCCAGATCGATTTTGGCCAGTGGGGTTGAAGTGCTGATTTTTTTCACTGATAGGACAAGAAAAAGGACCCATTTAGGAATCTTCCAGTGATGCATAATTAAATGCCTTAAAAGATACCTGTTTTAAAATTATGTTTTTTATGTAATTAACAAAAAGCTTATCATTTAGGATCTCATATAAAGATTGATATTGAAAGAAATATGTAATGTGTCAGTGAAGAGCCAAAATATATTAATACTATTACCTTTGCAGTGTTTTTTTTTTAAAGTTTTGGCAATTGCAGCTCTATCAGCTCTAAATATTTTCTTTTCACCCGAAAAAAATTTCCTGCCAAATCTGGCTTAGTTTGCAAGTTACAATTTCATCTGATGCTAATTCATGCACAAGAAACATGCTTTTTCTATTGGCAAGCAAAACATCCAGTCAAACTTTTTTGTAGATATAAGGAAAGTTTCCTAGACTGTTAATTATCTAAAATCAGTGTCCCTTTCTTTGTAACTATGTAATTCATGTAACCTATGTAAACATCACAAATTGAAAAAGCTGCAGAATTGGAAAAGGTACATTTTCTTTAAAATGATGTTGATTGATGATAAGATGCAAAGGAGAACATTTTCGAAAAGAATTTGTTTTATTCAATCCTGTCTGCACGCGAAATGGGATTTTGATCAATACAGTCATGGCTTACCTTAAACTTAGACCTATTAAAATTCAATAGAACCCAAACGGCATGACGCTTCACAATGAAAAAGTTTTAAAAACTTGCGAAAGTGCGTTTAATTAATAGAACCAAGTAATGGGAAGAAGGTAATGGGCGCAAGTACGGATCGCTATTGAGCAGCTGCATTTACAAAAAAGTACTTGACATTTCGTTCCTATGAAAAAGAAACTGACTTATACTAGAAATCCAACTTGATCGGACTGAAAATAACTGATTGCATAAAACTTAACTTTGTAGCAATATTCAGCCGCGAAAATATATTTTTTATTGTTTATTGATAACAATTAACTTTGAATGTTCGGTATTATTTTCAGTGAAGGTGCAATGAGCAGGTGGCGAACAGAAGAAAAAGTAGAACAGATCTTGTTGTACCTTCACAACCTTGATTGCAAACTGCCACCAATCGGTAACATCATTGATCATTTGAACATTTCTTAAAAAAAACTTTTAGAGAAAATGCTTTGACTTTCCAGTTTATTCATGTTATTGCTGTTATTATGTTTTGTATTAGATTTATTGACAATTTCTTTCAACTAGTGTTCGTAATTTAGCTTACTGATTTTTGGATAGCATCAAATAAAAGTAAAAGCAGTTAAAAAACTTTGCAGCACATACCTGACTTATTTGAAATACTTAGAAATTTCCAGGGAAAGAATATACTGCACTTCTTTCTAGGAAATTAAGGTTTTCAACGATCAGATGTTATCGCTTGACCTTGTGTTCATTGAGAGATCGTACAAATAGTATCATTTAAGTTACAAAATATTCACTTTTAGATAATATCAACTGCTCTGTAGTGAAATTGTTATCTACTATTTGATGGTTTTGATGGGAAAAGGTTTGGATCTGGCAAAAACCTTCGCTGTTCATTTTAGGTTTGCCGAATCTAATAATTTATTATCGTCAAGTAATATCAAACCCCCTCTGAGATAAAAAGGAAGGTAAAATCCACTCTGGATAAAACAAATAAAAAGGCTTACAATGCAATTGTATTTTTTAGAAGGACTTTAGTTTTGAAATTCTTACAGATATAACAAGCCTCAGTATTTCAACAAGCCTACTTTATAGAATTCAAAATAGCACAATGTCTTGTTCTTCTTTATAATTTCATTTATCAATGAGGCAAATTTTACTGTACAGTTTGAGAGACTAACCGAGTAATCAGATATTGATTAAAGCTGAGAAATAATTTATCTTATTCAAATGTTTTTTCTCTTGCTAGGCCAAACAGTATCACTAAGAACATGATACTACTGTTGAACTAAATTTAATATCAAGCAAAGGCTCCACCTGTAGGCTCCATCTTCTTGGCCACCTTTAGTTTGACGGCTATAAACTGTGCGGTACGAATCATCTATAGATTTAAGAGTTTGTTATTGTAAATACTATAAAGGGTAGAATTAAAATTTTGTCTAACTTTGTCTTGATTTCTTGGTAGATACGAGTTTTCAAATTTAACATTTTTTGCTTACCTGATGCTAGATATTGGCAGCTTTGTTCTTGGCCAAATTTCTTCTTGTCGTGCGTCACTTTGACCGCATCAATTTTCGTGCCCGAATGGCTGATAAAGTGTGCAACTGGTACATTTATAATGAAATCAGGCTACGGTCATCAATTATTTATCAATGATTCTCAATGATGAAAAATCGTTTGGATGGATCATAAAGGGGCCTCATATTACCAAATGACTCAATCTTTGCATTTCTCTAGTTAAGCTCATTACCCCTTAGAAGCCTGCATTAAATATTGATTAACTACGGCATGAAGTCACCTAAGCTGAGCTTTGACATTTTGCCGTTTATGATCGCTTAGCGATGTCTCATCACTTTCCAATAGAACTTTGCAAATCATATTCCAAAACCATGTGCGCAGCCAGTTATTAGATATAACCGTTTCTGAAGCCATGTTTGCCCCGTTGTTTTTGTTCTGTAATCTAGCATAATTATGCTGAACTTACTGATTTTGTATTAAAAAAGCTATTTCAAATGATGATAAAAGCTTTTAAAAATTTTTTTTGCAAATATTTATTATAAATATGAAATCCAGAGAATGCAGTTGTTTAGGGCTTAAGGTTGACTTTACTGCTTTCCGTCAATTTAAAGCAATCAAAGCAGCAAATTTGGAAGCCAAAATTCCTTATGGGACAAGCCAGGTGGATTTCTAAATAGAATTATGTTGCAAAATATGACTTTAACTCCAATTATCATGTATGAGGATTGATACAAAATACAGGCACAACATTTTTACGTGATTTGTGGAATAAAGTGACTAAAAGAAACCTGATGAAGCAGTGTATGCTGGAGCGAAATATTAGTATCTATTCAATCAATTTTGTTTCGAAGTTCTATCTCAATACATTGAAATTTTGTCGTCGTTTTCCTTTGTTCTTGATTATTACTCGTATTATTAGCCATTGCAAGATTCACAGGATCCGGCGGACAGCATATCCTGCCTTTCTCTCCGCCTACATCTACAAAGCAAAGAAATTAGATTTCCGATCCACTTTCAAGGTTCTTTTCTAAAAATGAGACAAAATAGGAAAGGAGCCTTCCAGTATCGCCAATCGAATTCGCATTGCCGATACTGGAAGAATTCTTTCCGCAAGTATTTTTGACAATATTTATGTAATAATCATTAAAAATCTCACCTAAATCATAGTCATCAGTGACTATTTTGTCATCTTTAATCAGGTAAATATCGGTACCAGCTAGAACACCCTTATTTGAGAGGAAAGGTTTTACCAGGTCCCAGAAAGCATTATTGGACATGAGACCATTGCTTGTAACTCTCTTGAAGTGATTCTTTATGGCTTTTTTACGGAGAGCAACGCAGCGATTTGGTTGTATCTTGAAGGCTACTTCATTTTGCTTTGAAGGGTGCATCGCTTTTTCAGCTCTGGGTTCATGAAGGGTGCATTGTTTCCCGTTAGAAACTTCTTATTGATTGAAGCGTGTTTGTTCACTTTATTTCGGACAAAGTTTGTCAGGTGGTCGTAGGATTTATCCGGGCTAGTCCCGTTGCATTCACAATTGGGCATGCTTTACATCGCTCAAGAAATTCTCTTTGACAAACTTTTTGAAGCTGCGATACTTTATTTGTTTCGGTTTTAACCTAGGAACTGTTGATTTCATAGTGGTAGCAACAAGACTATTATAGTCACTTAGACCTGTTTCGAAACATTCTTATTGATATCGCCCATTACAATAATGTTCTGAGAAAAAAGAGATCTGAGAAAAATGATCTGAGAAAGGATCCATTACAAATAGATCTGAGAAAAATGTTTCTATATTAGCATTTGGAGGGCGGTAAATGCTATAAATTATCAATTTATTTCTTGCAACCACGAGTTCAGAACACAATAGTTCAAGAGAGGAGACTTCAAAATTGGGCAACCTATTTCAAATAATGATTTTCTTTGAGTATTGCATAAGACCTCCTCAAAATTCAGACCTATCCAGGCGTTGTTGGTTTTTTGTAATTATTAATGAGAAAAGATTCCGTTGAAATCCGAGTTTAATTTTGTTTTTTCTATGAGTAATACACCAGGTAAACATCTTTCAGCGATCATTCTGAGATCAGTGATTTTATTTCTAAGACTGTTTATGTTTAAACCCTATGAGCAAGTTCCCGGCATATTCAGCCCTTAGACTGAAAAACTTATCGATATCATTACTGTCAGACTCGCTACTCGGTCCTGATGAATTTTCTGCTGATGAAACTTTGCTAGAAGTTGAATTGGAAGAATCAGACCCTGCTAATTTATTTACATAGAATACGGGCTTGCTTTCGAGGGTTTGCTTAATAGCGCTGCTACGATCTTCTCTGGAAACTTCTTAACCTGTGAGGAGGTTTTTACCGGTATAATTTAGGTGGAGCCCCCAACGATCTAAGTTTTCGTCTTGTACACTGTAATTGTTAATAAAATCTATGTCATGCTTTGGTAATTCCTGTTCTAATATTGTAATGACATTCTTTCTCTTCTCATCCAAACCCAAACTGTCTGTTCTCCGTACAATGCTCGATACAGCAACTTTTTTGTGTTGATGGCCAGCTCAATGATCTCTTTTGCAACTTGGTTTGAGTGACCATTTCGGAGATTATTTGTCCTACACATAAATATTATTTTGTCAGGGCTCATGTCAAGTGATGGTGTGACATGCCACTTTATATGTCCCACCGTAGCACCAGGAAACGTCTTCACATAAGTTTTTTTCGTTTCACTTCTCTGTTTATATCCTGTCTCCCTATCCCTCGCAGCATCGAGTCTCCAACAATTGCAACCTTTGTTTTGCGAGGTCCTCTAGGGTCATCATTAGATTGAAATTATTTGTTACTTTGCCATTCTCGAGGGTCAGCAGTGAAAGCGGTTGCATTAGGAAATCTTTTTTGTACAGCTTCAACGTAGGATTTCTCACCTTGGACAACATTTCTAGCATTTCTTTGATTTCGCCTCTGTGTAGTGTTATTTGCAGATGTATGATAGTTTCTTGTTTGTGGTGCTACTGCAGCATAGCTATTGGTATTTAGAGGTCCCTCGTGATTTTTCTTCTTATGATTTTCCAAAGGGTTGCATTTTTCACTTATACTGGGTACCTGCTGCCTTTGCCTTCTTTGTCTCTTGTTGTTCAAATGGAATAACCTTTTGGTTTTTCTGACAGTCCCCACGGATTATCCACTGAATTACATCCTCTGTTGCTAGCAAGGGAGCTAAAGTGATTATTTGTTTTTATAACAGGTTGCGCACTTGAGGCAGTCTTAGACCTTGCTGCATACAACTTTGGTACTTGCCATCCATCTTTGCTGGCCGATGGTGATTTGAAATATTCACTTGGGTATTCTGACAATGACCCAGTGTTTGATAATTCTCTTGGGCGCACCTGTCTTTGATTTTCATCTGGTGATGTTTTTTGTGGTATTTTCGTCGGTAAACAAACTAGGCTCGTTGCAAGATATGTTTTTGGTATTTTGGTATTGTTTTGTAAAATCTTTTCCAATTTTTTGCTCTTTAAGTTTCAAAGCTTAAATTTTTCATTTTTAATTTTCTGCTTGGATATTTTGATTCTCTCATTGATTCAGAGCCTGTTCAATATTTTGTTTAAAGGTAAGTCATTGTTTTTATTTCCATTCTTCTCCTCGAGTTCTGTTAAACGTTTTGCAGCTAATGCTAAGTTTGTCTCTAACATTTCCAAACGATTTGATGCGTTCTCTTGAAACAAAAAACTGGTGCAGCAAATAGATCCTTCGGATTCCTTTTTCTCCGATGTCTTATCTTCATTTTGTGACTTTCCTTCGCATTCCTGTTCAAGAGATTTTCTCACCAACGCGAAATTCCAAGGTCATGGCTTCATCGTTTGGAGCTCTTTGTGAATCCTTATAATGTCCTTTATTCTTCTCTATCAGCTTATCTTCATCAAGTGATATTTTTTTTCAGTTCCTTTTCCCACTTCTTTTTCCGATTCTATAGTACTTTCATTTGTTTCTATGCTATCCGGGATGCTGAATGATTCGTCTCCTGCATGAAAAGGCTTTTCAGCATGCCATGTTTCATCATGAAATCTACGGCAATAACAACGATGTTTTCGGTTAGGCCATGCTTTTCGAACAATGCCTTACAGATAGAAAACGTGTCAGCTCGCTGTTTGCTCCCTTTTAATTCTCTCTATTTCATTTATTATCAAGTTCTTAATATCATTACTTCAAAACAAGATACCAGAATCTGACATGATACCACCATTTAGATCCAAGCCTGTAGAAAGTAATTCGACAGAACCGGTCTGGTCGCCATTGGCCACCATGCGATGCTTGTGAAGCTTTACTCTTCACTTTTAAAGTTATTGTATTTGAAAATGTGCTTTAAGCAAACATACGGAGAAACATAATCAAATAACTTTCTGTATTGCAAGTAATGATCCTTTTTTACTTCATTTTAAGAAAGAAAGATGCTTGTAAGAAGGATTGCGAGTTTACAATTGTTTTCTTATAGGTAGTGAGGCTTTCAAAACGTGAAAATATCTTGCGAGTAAATGTAAAATTGATATAAATTTTGCACTTAATATTTGTGCAAATAAATATGATGGTTCTTAAAAGTTCGAAGCAACGTCAGGGCAATACCTAACCGAAAATGTGCTATAAAGAATGAATGAATAAGGATGGTGACTTAGCATTTGTAGTTTTTTGTTGACCTTGTTCAAAGGCAAGTAAGGTTACTTCAGTACAAAAACTTTTTCAGTTAGATATTATCATTGTTATAGGTCATCCCAAGTCCTCTTTCTCTAATGTTTACCAATGTTATTTTATCAATTGAAATGTTAAGAAGTGACCGGATGATGCAGTTAGCAAGGTAAAACTCGATCGATCTTTTACGTCACATGTCTGGCTTTTATTGATATCAAAATAGCTCTATTTGAAAGGCACAATATATATATATATAAATATATAGAGACAGTTTTTAATACCATAAGACAACTTTCCTTCAAAAAATCTATTTTTTGTGTATATTATATGTCTAACCTAATAGGCTATTGCAGAACAAAAAATGTTTTGCATAAATATCATTTAGAAAATGAATGAATTTATGAAATTGCGCTG